TTATTGTCATTAATTCCCTTAAAAAGTACATAAATGGTAATTGGGTATATAAAATGTAATTATAGTAAAACTTGAGTAGGGAGGGTAATATAGTTTCATATAATGTATAGAAATGTAAAAATTCCTTCCTAAAATATTATCTGAAGTTAAAGTTGAACAAAGTATTTGAAAGTTGAGCCCGTTTGGCCATAAAAAAAATTCACTTTTTTTCAAAATTAATGTTTTACTATAAAAATTTTAATTTTCATTTGAAGATGAATTTTGGAATTTTTCGAAAATTTGAAGAACTTCAAAAAGTTGTTTTCCAAAATTTTCACTCAGATCACTCACAAAAAGTCAAAAACAACCAAAATTATATTTATGTCCAAAACTCTAATTTTCTACTACCATTTTTCACTTAGAAAACAAATTTGACTTTTTTCAAAATTTTACAATTCTTATGTCCAAACGCCCCCTAAGATTTATGTTTGGACATTAATCTGACTGGACAAAAATGTTGAAGATTCATTTTATTTGCAGTACTTGTCAAATTTTATATTAATATTTCGCCAGAATTTCAAATACTGTAAATAATTTTCAAGTACCAAAACATTAATTATTTGTGGACTGTGGTCACATGCCTAGTCATTCCTCTTTTAGCTAGGCATAAATATTTTGTAAAGTCACTTTAAAAAGGAAACATCCCTAACATCCACATATTTTTTTACACTTTAATTACAAATCATTAAATTTTTTAATATGACCTGGAGTCTGAGCTGGGCATCCACATATCAAATACTCCTATCCACTAAGCTCACTTGACAAACAAAAAAAAAAAAAAAAAATTAAATCTTGTGTCACTTGGAGTACTTGTCAAATTTTATATAATATTTTTTCAAAATTCCAAATAGAGTTGAATATTTCAAATATCAAAATGGATTACTTATTATTTATGGTCAAAATGAGCAAGTTTTTAGAAATTTGAAGGTCGGACTCTCCATAGCACATGCTTAGTCATTTCACTATTTGCTATGCATGCTTTTTAAAGTCACTTTAAAAGGAAACATTGGTTAACATCCACATGTTTTCATACACTTTTATCTAGAGATAAGGGCCGGTGCTTGAGATCTAAGGTACGAGTTTGATCGAATTCAATAACGTTAGTCTAAATTTTATATTTATTTTAAGAAATTTATGTAATATATACAATTTATTAATTCAAAATTTAATAACATAAAAAAATTAGAATCCTAAATTCTTAAGCTTTAGATTCTTACTCGTCACCATTTATAACGGCCAGCCAATGGTAGATTTGTAGGCAAAGTTATGGGGCACGTGAACCCATGGTCTTTTCGCAAAAGTAGATATTTTATGTACATATTTTCTAAAATTGGTATAATATTAAGTGTTGATACCTATGTTTCAAGAAGGTTGAATGGTGCACTTGGTTGAAGATTGAGTTATTTACTAAGAGGAATAAGGATCAATTCTCACTTAATATATTTTTCCTTATTTTTTAGTGTACTCATGTACTAGAAAACCTAGATCCGCCTTTTCGAGCAGCGTGGTGCACAAGACATTTTGCATTCACGCAGGATCCGGATAAGGGCTGCACTGTGCTGTAGACAATCTATCCTAATGCAAGAATTAATGACTGCTTCTACGGTTCTGCAACCATATATGGATCACTAATGTAAGAATTAGTGAGTGCTTCTACTACTCCGCCTTTTCGAACAGCGTGGTGCATAAGTCATCCTGCAATCACGCAGGATCCGGGTAAGGGCTGCACTGTGTTGTAGACATTAATCTATCCTAATGCAAGAATTAATGACTGCTTCTACTGCTTTTACTATCAGTTATAGATCATATAATCTGTCAATATGACCTGGAGTCTGAGCTGGGGATCCACATATCAAAATACTCTTATCCACTACTATCGTATCTTTAACAAATCACATCGTACCTTATTCCTTTGTCCTTTGGTTTCTTGAAAAAGCCGTCTTGATTGTGGATGATATTTTCTTATCTATCTCTTTTTTTGTTCTTTTTGGCCTTTTTGTTTTTGGAATTTAATAATTTGCAGGCCAAGCATAATATCCACGTCAAATATTTTTATGTGGATAAAAACGATGACCGATTTGGCGGGAATTTCATGCCACTTCACTTCCCACCAAAACTTTAAATCAAAGCAAAAAAGCAAATAATGCTAATTACTTTGTTCGTTGTTGACTATGTTTGACTACGCATGAAGTTTAAGAAATAAATTTAAAAAATTAAAATTTATAGTCTAAAATAAGACATAGAAATTTGTTTGACTATAAATTATCTTATTAAAAAAATAATGAGTATTTATAGTTAAATTATTTTTAAATATACAAAAAAATAATTATTCTTTTTGGTAAAGAATACACATAAATTTAGATAGAGGGAGTAAATTTAATTTTGAAATCTGAAAAAGTCATTTTTTATTATGTTATTTTAAGTTAGTAAATAAGGAATTTAAAAAAAATTTACTCGCCAACATTGTTCTATTAAATTGGAGGTAATGGTATCTCTTGAAAATTAATGGATTATGTAACATAAATGTATTTATTATGCAAAAGTCTTCGTCGTATCATCACATACGTACCTATGCTAGTGGTACTTAGAATTTTCATACATATGTGATAATATATTAACTTTATTATTTTGAAGTTGTCATGCTATGTACAATACTTAAGCAATTTAACAATGTACAAAACAAATGAGCAATTTAACAATTTGAGCTTGAGAAAAGAAAAGTAAACAAGGAAAGATTTAAACTTATATATACTGTCAGTGTAAAAGAAACTATTATTAATATGATTTAATTTGTTTAGCAAATTACTTACCATTTAATATTGATTAATAATAAATTACTTATTAAGTAGAATTATATATAATTATATTTTAAGTAACCTGATTAATATAATTATTTTTTGCATCAACAGTATATATATCTTAAATTCACACGAGAATATAATCACCATGAGACATGCAAATCCACATAAATATATAAGTCAGATCCTTCTTGTTAAGTCAAAATACAGTAATGGCATGAATCTAAGTGGGAGAATTATTTAAACTGTAACGAATTTTTATTTTTTAGTATGGAATAAATGAATATTCACAGGGAATTTCAAAAGTCAAAGCAAACAAAATTAAAAAAAATAAAATAAAAAATAAAAAACGGCACAAAACCGTGACAACGTAAAAGTCAAATGACGTGCTTAATGCCATAATTTTGGTCGGCAAATGTCGTTAGTTAATATGTAAACCATGTTAATTACCTCCCCCAATTTCCCTAATCATTTTTCCAACAAACTCGAATTGCTGAATATGAAAATAATAAAAAAATTCACCGAAAATGATAAATTAGATGATGAACTGTTCCTACGCTGCCACGTGGTTGTATTTCTCGTCAATCTAAAGTGACAGTTCATTATATTCTAATTGAGTGGAGGAAAAGTAAAGCACCCCATTTAAATTTTGAAATGAAATTTTATTTGAAGTTCATATGAAATATCGAAATATTTATTTGAAAATATATTTCGCTCGCAATTTCAAATTTTCATAAAATTTCACAATCTTTTTTTGACTTTAACATTCTTTTAATCTTGAACTTAACTATTGTCCTTCGAATGACTCGAATTCGAAACTTTTAGTTAAGGATTACTCCCTCCGGTTCAAAATAAGTGATTTTTTGGCCTTTTTCTTGTGGTCCCAAATAAGTAATTTTTCCAGGTTTCAAGAATGAATTAATTATTTTTTTCCTACATTGTCCATGGAGTAAATAGTTTTGGAATATGCGTTAGGAGTGTTTATGTAAGATAGTAAAGGTTAATATGGTCAATTCCATTGCTAATTAATGCTAAAAGGTGGATTTCTTAATTTGTGTGAAAACATCAAAAAAATTACTTATTTTGGACCGGAGGGAGTATTAGTTATGACTTGTGACACAGTTCATAAGCCAACATGTCCAATTTTATGTAGTTTTTCATGTTCAAATTTTCAATTAGGTCAAGGTGGTCAAGCAAGATTAGTCCTGGCATGTTACACGTCTGTTACTTAAATGATCACTCAACTGTCTAAAGTTATACAGTAAAATCATATTTATTTTATTTATATCAGAAAAGTAACTTAATTATTTTTATAGCACTCACAAAGCCTCTCAACTAAATATCTCAAACTTTCAGTAATTAAATACATATTTTACCCTCTAAACTATCATTCTTTATCTTTTCAATAATTTTTATTATTATAATTTTTTTTACCAAAAAATTATGATTTTTTTCTATGTTACTTTATATTTATTTGACAAATTTGCCACAAAATCAGCAGCCCAATTATAATTTATCCGGTCAAAAAGTTCAACCGAAGCCACATGAATCCCAAAAAATATTCTCCTATTTGTTTGCAGTTTGAGACCGGAAACTTTTTTTTATTTTTTTATTTTTTATTTTTTTTTAATTGCGATTACTTAATAATTTAAAACGTGCGCTATGTTGAGAGAAGAGTATTAGAGGGTGTTTGGCTAAGCTTATAAGCCGGTCAAACTAGCTTATAAGCACTTTTTGGCTTATCTACGCGTTTGGTAAAATTAAAAGTGTTTATAAGTTAAGTGCTTATAAGCCAAAAATAAACCAAAAGCCATAAGTTGGTCTCCTCCAACTTATCAAATTTCAGCTTATAAGTACTTTAAGTTTGACCAAAATATTTACTATTCTATCCCTAAAATACTTCTTTTTAAAACAGAACTCTTTGTATACCTGGTTCTTCAGCTGCATATTATTAATTTCAGCACTTTTATCCAAACACGTAACTGCTTATTTTTTAAATCAGTTTCAGCACTTAAAAATGCTTTTCAGCACCTAATGCTTATCAGCTACTCTAAATCAGCTAAGTCAAACGGGCTCTTAGTTTACCCCGTCTAAGTAAATAACTAAAAGGAAATATTAACAGTGTTTATAAATAAGTGCGCGCATGTGGGAGGAAATGAAACAAAAGAGTTCTTTGATTTGTTGCGAAAGCATAGAGAGATAACAATACACACATATATATATATAGAGAGAGAAATTTCTCAGTTTTGAAAAGGGGATTTGAAACTGTTTGTTTGTCTCTGGTACTGAAGAAATTAAAAGTTGAATGAAATGAAATTGAACACAGAAAAAAATATGGAGTGGCCTACAATTTTGGATGAATATGAAAAACTTGTTTTTCGTATGACTACTCCCAGGTATTATATCTCCTTCGCTAATTTTTTCTGTAAATTTTTCCAATTTATTCATGTTTTTTTAACCGAATAATTGCTTCAATTTCATTAGTATAATGAATTTGCTCTGTTTTAAGCCCTTCTTTTCTGCTCAAATTATGCAAGTTTTCATTTTTTGTATCTTTTGGAAGTTTCTCTCTGAAATTTCGTTGATTTTGTTAGAACTTTTTCAGAAGTTTCATCAGTAAGATTATATCTACATCTTACCTTAGTGATGGATCCAGGATTTTAAGATTATGTGTTCCTACACATCTCAAATTAATATATAATAATAATCTGACCAATAAACTGGGTTCCAAGCTAAATATTCGTGTAAAATTAATGGACTTTTAATACAAAAACAAGTCTAGGCAAAAGTTATTGGGTTCATGTGAACTGTAGTCCCCAGTTTTAGTCAAATTATTACTCCGTCCATCTCAACTTATGCGATGGTGTTTGATTGAACACAGAGTTTAAGAAAAAAATTGAAACTTGTTTCTAGAAGGGGTTAAAATTTTGTGTTGCTTTAAACCAATCTCATTAAAGCTAAAATGGAAATATAAACTTAAATTATATTGTAAATACAAAAGGTATCATTTTTTCAAGCACAGACACACCATCATTGGGATAGAGGGATTACTTAATAATATTAATTTCAAAATTTGCAATATATATTTCGAGTTAGTGTTTTATTATTCTGATTAGTCTTTGTCAATTCTGCTGCAGAGTCATGATCGACAATGCCGGTTGTTCAAATGCCACCCGCGTTATGGTAAGCCACCTCTGTTGTAGTCCTTGAATCTTTTAGTTTCAATTAACTATGCCTCAGCCGCGGCTGGACTTTGGTCTAGCGTTAAGAAGCACATGATGTGTGGTTTAGGCGCAGGTGACAGATAGTGGCGGATCCAGGATTTTATGTTCGTGGGTGCTTAATTTTTCTTGATGTGTAGTAACTACTTAATTTTTTGGTTGGTAGGTGCTTTCTTTTCCTTTTATATCAGATGCCTCAAATTTCTTATATAACTATACCTATGCTGTGTAAAGTTTAATGGGTGCTGAAGCACCTAAATTTAGTACGTAGCTCCGCCCCTGGTGACAGATCGAACCTTGTTGTGTACTAAAGTCTGTATTTAAGTTGGAAAGGGTAGAGAGATGGGTCCATTATACACCCTCGAGAACTTTTCCTTTTTGTAAAAAAAGAAATCAACTACGCTTCAATCTTGAATTAGTTGAGGTTACCTGTATAATACAATTGTCAAGCTAGCACACCCTTTTTTTAAAATGGGATTTAGAACCAGCTATACTTTACAAAGTACATAGTTAGAGTTCAATTTTGAGTCAGAATGTCTGTAAATTATACTGAAATTCGTTTTAACTAGTCTTTAATCGTTTCAGTTCTGATGTCGTGATCATTTACAGATTGATAGTGCTAGGAAGCATGGAATTCTTCTTGAAGCAGTTCAAGTTCTCACGGATCTCAATCTTTCAATCAAGAAAGCTTACATCTCTTGCGATGGTCAATGGTTTATGGATGGTGAGCTCAATTCACTGAACCTTTTGGTTTAAGAGCATTTTCAGTATCTTTTTTATTGATTCGTTCTGTTTCAATTCGTTTTGATATGCAGTTTTTCATGTTACCGACTTGGATGGTAACAAGTTAATGGACGAAAGTGTCATCAGTTACATCAAACAGGTATTTATATAGTTGTAATTTGAACAGTAATTGCATTGTCAAATGTTTTTGACATGTATGTGGGTACTTGGTGAAGATTTTCCAAAATATACTACTCCCACCGTCCCAATTTATGTGGCAGTGTTTGACTCGCCACGGAGTTTAAAAAAAAGTTTGAAACTTGTGGTTTAAAACAAACCATCGATATTTGTATGGCTATAAATCAATTCATTAAAGGTAGAGTAAAAATTCTAAGATAAGTAGTTTCTAAATAAGGAAAGTGACATCTTCTTGGCACTGACTAAAAAGGAAAGAGTGCCACATAAATTAGGGCAAAGGGAGTAAAATTACTCGTACAAAATACTTATAACTGTATCGGTTTAACATAGATTACGAAGATGCTTGAATATGTCTTTAGGCTAAATCCAAACTTTTCGCTATTGTTGAACAGTCACTTGGGAGAACCTATTATGCAAATTCGAAAAGTTATGATGGCTTGACAGCCCTGGAATTAACTGGGACCGATCGTATTGGCCTTTTGTCGGAGGCTTTTGCTGTACTATCAGATTTACAGTGCAACGTTGTTGAAGCTAAAGTGTGGACTCACAATGGTCGAATTGCCTCCGTGATATATGTAAAGGAAAGCCATACGGGGTTCCCCATTGAGGATTCCCAGAAGATTGACAGAATCGAAGCTCGTCTAAGGAATGTGCTTAAGGGGGATAATGATATTCGTAGTGCTAAAACATCAGTTTCTATGGATGTCACACATACAGAAAGAAGACTTCATCAAATGATGTATGCAGACCGTGATTATGAAAGAAAGCTGGTGACTAGGACTAGCAATGACGCCCCGATAGTATCGGTCATGAACTGCTTGGAAAAGGGTTACTCCGTGGTAAATATTCAGTGCAAAGATCGAACTAAGCTTCTATTTGATCTTGTTTGCACGTTAACAGACATGCAGTATGACGTGTTCCATGCCACAGCTAATACAGCTGCGGACAGGGCATACTTGGTATATATTCCTTTACCGACTTGTCTTGCTTTTCTAATTCATGTTGGATGAATTGTACATTATCTCAACTTTGTCACGATCTTTGCCTCAGGAATTCTTCACTAGGCATACGGATGGAAACCCAATTAGTTCGGATGCTGAAAAGCAGCGTGTTATTCTATGTCTACGAGCTGCAATTGAAAGAAGAACATCTGAGGTATTGTGCTCTCTGTGAAAACGAACATTCAATTATTACATTTTCTCAAGAGTGTTAAGAATTAAAAAGGTATCCAATGTCTAGAGTCAACGGGTTCAGAATGGATGTGATGTATTATATCTACATGTTTAAATCATTTTTATATATGATAAGTACTTCGAGGCAAAAGTAGTGGACTCGCCTCTGTTTAGGATGTGCTTCTAACATAGTACTCCAAATCTGATCTCAGGGAGTGAGGCTTGAGCTAAGCACTGGAGACAAACAAGGATTATTGGCCAATGTAACGAGAACTTTCCGAGAAAATGGCCTAAATGTGACAAGGGCTGAGATATCAACCACAGGGGAATCGGCTCTAAATATGTTCTACGTAACAGATGCAAGGGGGAATCCAGCCGATTCAAATATCATTGAGGCTGTTAGGCAAAAGATTGGATGGAGTGACTTGAAAGTGAAGGAATTTCCATTGATCAATCATCAAAAGGTTGATACAGACGAGCCGACAGCTGGTGTAGGTGGGGCTATGTTGCTGTCACTTGGTAGCATATTTAGAAGGAATCTCTACAACTTGGGATTGATCAATTCATATTCTTGAAGCAAGAAGAATGAATCTTATCATACCAACTTACCAAAAAGGAGAACGCGAGAAGTTTATATTCCTCCGAATTCACACTATGGAAGTCTCAAAGGACACCTAATTTCGGTGGCCTGTATACATAGCTTAAATAGATCAGGAGGTCACGGGTTCAAGCCGTGAAAACAACCTATTGCAGGCGGATGGTATTTGAGGCCACCTTTTGCCTACCATATTCAATAGCTAGGAACAGTTAGAATTTGAAACATAGAGCAGGAGACAAAAGCAATGTAACATAAAGGTTGTTTGGCCAGGGATGGGTTTACAACAACAACGACTCAATTCCAACCAACTCGAGGTCGGCTTACATGAATCTTCATTGTCTACATGCTCCTTTTAACTAGGCAATGGATGGGTATGCAACAAATCCTCGGTCCCGAGAAAGTTGGGGTTGGCTACATGAAATTCACTATCTATATCGCTCCGTTCAAGCAGACAGTGGATGGTATGAAACAACAATGCTTTAATCCCAAGCAAGCTGGGACCAGCACATGAAATTTTACTGTCTATATTGCTCCATAATATTGTAAAGAACTTGTTACAGCAGATAAAACTATACTAATTCGTGTAAAAGATGCATTTTGGAAATTTTTGAAAATTTAAAAAACTGCAAAAAGATGTTTTTCAAAATTTTCACTGAAATCACTCACAAAACTTCAAAAATAACCCAGACTGAAATTATGTCCAAATACCACTCTAAATTTCAACTACCATTTTTACTTGAAAAATTTTTTCACCATTTTTTCGAATTTTACATTTCTTATGTCCAAACGCCTACTAAATGTTTATTATTGGATACGATTATGAAGTTGGTATTGGATTGTCTGGCAAAGTAAATGACTCCAAACTAGCACTTTTGTAATTTGTCCGTTTAGAGCCAGCAATTTCCTTGAGAATATATGCTTTTGCTTCTGTCTTTATCCAACACTCAATAATTTTTCATTTTCATTTTATACAGCTTATAGTTGCAAATTGACAAATAATCTATTTGCAAAGATGGTTGTTTAATACTTTCTCTTTAGTCTTAAGTTTGTTCCCTGCCGGCTGGCCTATGTAAATGAGCTTTTCCTTTTACTGCACAACAAAATAAGGAACAAAAGTAGTAAATCAAACAATTATTTTAAAGAAAAGAAAAGTAGGAACTGTATGGGTCAAAATCCGACCGAGGAAATTCAGCACGAGGAGGTGGCTATCGTGAGAATTGTAACTTATCATGAGCAGTGCGGCCGAGGTCGATCAGTGGAGAACAGGACGAGCCGTTGAGTGGCTCATCAGGGCCGAGGTCGAGCAGCAAGGGACAGAAGTAACGGCTAGTACAACTTTGAAACTTACAAATGGAATATTCTATTGAATATTCCTGATGTTGTACCTTTTAGGGTTTTTTCGGGAATATCTATATAAATAGTAGGAGAGATAAGGTAAAGGGAGGGTAATATTCCATTTGATAAGAACACTTTTGAAAAGCAAGCTCCCTAGATAAATACAAAGAACAACTTTTTGAGAGAGATTCGATCCTTATTTTCAATCCATTGTCATTTTCACCAGATCCGAGAAAGTGTATAATATTCTCTCATATTCTTGTCATTTATCATTGTCAGAAGAAGGAATTATTCACCTCTTTCATTTTGGGTGAATCTTCCTCCTTATTTACATTTAGTGTCATTTATTGTTATTTATTACTTGCTCTCATCACATTAGTAACAGCCACATTTATTATGTTTTGCATTAAATCTACATCAACGTGGTCCCACATTATCCATGTAAATAGATTTTAGATCTAGGGATATTATCCTTGACAAGAATTAATCCCTTATACTTTTACTTAATTAGTTAACAAAGAGTTTCATACTTTTTTGTCAAATAATTTGGCGCCGTCTGTGAGGATTTTCTAGTTGGTATTTTAGTTTCTTCTAGATCTAAAAAAAACGCAAAAACTCTATACTTCCTTGTGTGCACAAATCTAACATGGCAGGCAACGGGGAGGAAAAGAGGAAAGCGATAGCCGACCTCACTACCAATCTCCTTCACATCATCAACGAAATCGATGAAACGGAGGGGGAAGACGTAACACCAAACACCTCTCCCAGGCAAAACAGCTCGCCCCCTCCTCACGGCAGCATCACGGCCTCACACGGTAAAGGGGCCTCTACATCCACAACGGAAGAGGCACCACCAACAGTGAAAAAGCTGCTCGAGGTGTGGTTGACAAACACGCCGACCAACATTCTCGACAAGCCCGCTCAAAGGCCGAACCGAGAAGATGCAAGAGTTGCGTTAGCGACAGGCGAGCAACACGCCCCCTCGTAACAGGTATTACTCATAATGTTAGTGATGTAGATAACAACACCCTCACAGCCATTCAGAGGAAAATGGAGGAGATGGAGAACGAGAACAAAATGCTCCGCGACCAAATGAAAGAGCATCAAGAAAGGGTATATAAAACACCGGGCGCCCCAAAACTCCTACCAAAAAGGACGCCAGTCGGTTTGTTGAGCAGCCATACAACGACGAAGTTGCACCACACGCAATACCTAAAACCTTCAAAATGCCACTGTACCTGAAAATATACGACGGCACTCTGGACCCTAAGATCATGTGACTCACTACGTCACCGCAGTAAAAGGAAACGACCTCGCCAAAGAGAAAGTATCCTCCATCTTACTGAAGAAGTTCGGTGAAACCCTCACCGGGGGCGCGTTAACTTGGTATTCACAGCTGCTCGCATGCTCGATTGAAACATTCGAGGAAATGGCCGACAAGTTCGTAACAGCCCATGTCGGAGCAAAAAAGGCGGAGGCAAGATTAAATGACATATTTGCCATCAAACAATCACCTGGAGAGGGGCTAAGGGACTTCCTTGCTCGATTTAACCGAGTAAGGATGACCTTACCAAACGTATCGGAAGGAATGTTCGTGGCAGCCTTTTAAAACGGGTTAAACAGAAGCAGTTCGAGGGCGACCAGAAAGCTGCTTAGCCACCTCATGAAATATCCCCCGACCACTTGGGACGAAATACACAATGCCTATTGCGCAAAAGTTTGAGCTGACGAGGATGATCTGAATGGGCCTACCCAACGGCTAACTTCGGTACAAGCCGAGTCCAAAAAAGGACCGAAGAAACGACAACAGGAGAGATCTAGCAGGACCCCGACCTAGTCGAGAAAGACATCAGCCCTACGTCAGAGGCACCCTCATGCCGCCCCCTCGCCATGACGAAGGCCCATCCAGGCCACAAACATGAACTCACCGAAGTGAGAGAGGTATGCCTCCCTTATTATCCGCTCACAATTTCTGTGTTTCCCCCCTCAGAAATAGTTACACACTGGAGAAGCTCGGCCCAAAAGTGAAATGGCTGCAGAAGATGAGATCCGACCCGATCACCAGAAAGTCAAATGCCCTCTGCGAATTCCACCATGAGCGGGGTCACAAAATCGAAGACTGTATCCCCCTAAGACAAGAGTTCGTGAACATGCTTCACCAAGGGCACTTGAAAGAGCTGATGAGCGACCGAGGGAGAGCCAACTTCGCCGGTGGACGTAAATAGCACCAGGGACCACCCAAACCACCCTCCCCGGCTCGAACCATTCAAATGATCATCGGAGTGGGCGACGATGCATCAGTCAACAGCGTGAAGTTCACCACCACCCACAAACTCAAACGGTCGATCACTCATGAACTGTACGACAAGCTCGAAGAAAGTATCATCTTCGATAAGTCGGATACCCATGGTTTGGTTTTTCCTCACTATGACGCCCTTGTCATTACTTTACGCATTATAGATACTGATGTAAAATGTATTATTGTCGATGATGGGAGTGGCACGTGCATCATCCACCCTCGAGTTCTCGCGTAAATGAAGCTTGAGGATAGGATAGTGCCACGCTGCATCACACTGACAAGTTTTAATAATGTAGTTGAGCGGACATCTGGAGAAATCACGCTTCCCGTCTTGGCCGGCTGCGTCACTTTGGAGACCACGTTCCACATCATGGACCAGGATATGGCGTATAACGCCATAATAGGTCGACCTTGGATACACGCAATGAAAGTCGTCCCCTCCAGCTTATATCAAGTCATCAAGTTTCCCACTCCCTAGGGGTATTCAGCATCCGAGGAGAGCAATACACTGCCCGGGAATGCTACCGCATCGCCCAAGACAGCACACCACCCAACAATTGAAGGGTAAAGCTAAAGAAGCATAGTAATCAACAGGGTCAAGGCCGAGCGATGATGAGAAGGATGTGATCAAAGATCCCAAAGTTGTAGAAGCTACAGGATCTACCGTAGAAGACCTAGACCCCGTCCAACTCGATGATAACGACCACAACAAGAAAGCTTTCATCGGCCACAAGCTCCAAGAACCAGGTAAATTCCGTCGATTCTTAAAAAGTAACGTAGACCTGTTTGCTTTTTCTCATGCAGACATGCCAGGTATCCCAAAGGAGATAGCAACACACAAGCTAAACGTCGACCCATTCCACCCCCAGTGAGACAAATCAGGCAGAAATTCAACGCCGCCATAAATGACACAGTCCGCGAAGAGGTAGAGAAGTTGCCAAAAAACGACTCCATCAGGGAGTCGACATATCCTCAATGGGTCGCCAATGTGGTCATGGTGAAAAAGAAGAACGGAAAGTGGCGGATGTGCGTGGACTTCACAGACCTAAACAAAGCCTGCCCGAAAGATTCGTTTCCACTTCCTCATATCGACCAACTCATTGACGCAACGGTCGGGCACGAACTGCTCAGCTTCCTAGACGCCTACTCAAGTTAAAACCAGATCCTCATGGAAGAGGAAGACCAGGAGAAGACCACCTTCATCACTCATCAGGGAACGTACTACTACAGGGTGATGCCTTTCGGACTGAAATACGTAGGGGGCAACGTATCAGAAGTTGGTGATGAGAATGTTCAAATAACAACTCAGCAAAATAATGGAAGTCTACATCGACGACATGTTTGTCAAGACGAAAAGAAGGGAGGATCACATCGACCACTTGAAAGAGGCCTTCGACATACTCAGACAATACGGTATGAAATTGAACCCCGAAAAGTGCGCCTTCAGAGTAACCTCGGGAAATTTCTTCAGTTTCTTGGTATCACAATGAGGCATCGAGGTCAATCCCGACCAAATTAAAGCTTTTGAAGGAATACCGGAGAACCTAACTAGTAAGAAACAAGTACAAAAGCTGACCGGCCGCATAGCCGCCCCGTCGAGGCTCATCTCACGATCCTCCGATAGATGCCATAAATTTTTCGACGTACTCAAGAAAGACAATGGACTCCAATGGAACTCCGAGTGTGTTGAATCCTTGAAAGAATTAAAGGCATACTTATCTTCCCCTCCACTACTCGCCAAGGTAAAACCTGGTGAGCGTCTTCTCGTCTATCTGGCCGTGTCTGATGTGGCCGTGAGTGCGGTCCTAGTCCGAGAAAATAAATGTACTCAATCTCCCATTCATTATATTAGTAAAACTCTGGTTGATTCCAAGACGAGGTATCTACCTCTAGAAGTTGGCCCTGGCTTTGGCTGTAGCTTCACGAAAGGTTAGACCCTATTTACGGTGCCATCCCATCTCGGTAGTAACGACCTTTCCCTTGAGGAGTATTCTGCACAAGCCCGAGCTGTCGGGCAGATTGGCCAAATGGGCCATAGAATGGAGCGATCGCGATATAACCTATCAGCCGCGAACGGCGATAAAGTCGCAAGTGCTCGCCGACTTCACCACAAAAATAATGCCTGAAGTCGAAAGGGAAGCCGCCCATACTTCCCCCAAAATACACGACCTATGGGTGTTGTATACAGATGGCACCTCCAACGCGTCAGGATCGGGACTGGAACTCGTGCTTGGGGTCCCAATAGGCGAAGTAATTCTCCAGTCTATAAGATGCCTAGATATGACTAACAACGA